CCCCCCCAAAAAAAAGATCGTGATGAACATGATTCCAGCCGTTATAGTCATCTGAAATAAAAAAACCAAAAAGATTCTTAATTTGTATGAGTGTGGCTATCGTGTGAACTAGAATTGAATCAATATTCGCAAAATTCGAATTTTGTGATTTACAAAACTAACCAATTTTTTGGTGAAAAATGAAATTTCTTTTTTGAAACGCTACCATTTTTTTACTTTTCAATATTTTTTTTTATTCTGGTTCACAAGTGTAGTCACATTCATACAGATTAAGAATCTTTTTGATTTTTTTATTTCAGATGACTATAACGGCTGGAATTATGTTTGCCACAAACAACAATTTTTTTTTTAGACATCTTAGTTGGACTACTATAACTCCGAAACAAACAAATATTTTTGTTTGAAAAGAATTCAGAATATACTTATATATATATATAAGTATATTCTGAATATATATGTTATTTAATAAACGCAAAGTTTAGAATTATTATGTTTTATACTTTCCTTTAAAAAAAATTCCCCAAAATCGCCTTATTTTCAGAGTATTAAACTAGAAAGACCCCTTAATACTAATATATCTCTGTTTTTTCTTGAGATAATATATAAATATATATAATTTAGTTTTATTTATTGTTAAATATTATTATATATACTTTGTACACATACATTATATTATATATTATATATTTTTTAAATTCCCTTAAAAAGACTTTTTTCTAAAAAAGTAATCTAGAATTAGATCAAATAAAAAATAAATCATGTTATATGTTATACACAATTTACATACCCCAACTTTAGGAAGATTGTTTAATATTTTATGCTTCTCTTTCTCCGGCACATCAGCTATTATCTCTGTTTGACATTGAATTACTGGTGTTTTCAACTGCTGTGGTATTTGCAATGTAGTGGCACATTTCTTGATGAACTCAATGGTTTCCAATAGCTTTTTACTTCAAAAAAAAAAATTTTTATAATATAATTATAATATTTATATAAGTTCATGTTTAATTTATCATCATTAATTTTAAATATTAAAAAATTAATATTTTTTCCAAAACATTTTATATCACACAAAAAGAAAACAAATTTTTTGCATAAGTAGCTAGCTCTTTTTATGGACTATGGCAGAACTGAAAAATTTAATTGCAACTTCCAAATTGATTTTTCTATTGTGCAAGCACTTTTGAGATTTGAGAGGCGCGTTTGGCAGATTGTTGCTAATACGCGAGTAGCAGGAGAGCAGTGAGCGTCAAACACAAAAATTGGCTCAAAAATTGCAATTAAATCTCCAGCACTGGTCTGCGATATGAAAAGCAAATAAAATGTATTGATAATCAGAGCTAAACAAAATTACCTGACTTCGGAATGTTGTCATTATTTGTTTCCATGGGTTTATTCAAATTTTTTAACGTATAATTGTTATGATTCTCATGCCTTTTAATCTTTCGGTTTTTTCTAGCTGCCTTCTTCTCTTTTTTTAATTGCTTCCAAGACGTATCGAGAGCTTGATAATCGCGTTGCTGAGTGTTCATCACATCAAAGGTTTCGATTTCACTGTTCTTCCTTCTATGTATAAGAATCAAAAGATATCAAAAAGATATCAAAATTATAATACACCCAATTTTATAAGCTCTATATAAGTAAAAAATTAATTATTGTATACAGAAAAGATAAGGAATTTTCTCTTTACTTCAATAGCGGAGGCTGTGGTTTGTCTGCTGTGACGGGCAAGCTCAGGTCTAGAAATGGCTCAGTACGTTGCGACGAGTGATGACAATCCAGACACTGTAGAGTAGACACCAACACGCCACGAAATACCGCTTCTGGTCCCAATAGTCGTGTGCTAGCCTGGTTGCCATAAAATTTTATGCGAGATTTCAGACCCTTTTCCACACAATCCGGTTTTGTTTTCTCGCTCAAGCCTACCTCCTTCAGAATTATGATCTGGTATCTCTACAATATACATAAAATTTTAATTTATATAATATATAAGATCTTTATTTATCTTTGTAGAATAACTGTATTATCTCAAAAAATTTAAAGACAATTTCCTACTTAAAAAAAAAAAAAAGAAAAAAAACTAACTTTGTTGTGAATCAAATTGAGATGAATTGAGATCAATTATGAAAAGTTGTAAAGTTTGATATTTGTATTTACAGAATTTTTAAATAAATTTCACTTAACTTTATTTTTTACAAAATTATATAATAAAAAAAACAACAACCAAAAATTCGATTAATCTTTTTAGTTACTTAATAAATGCCAAATAAAAAAAGTATGGCACAATTTTGTTAAAGGGGTTGTAAAAAGCTTTCTCTTTAATTCATTTTTTTATGATTGAATGATTTTTTTCGTCGATTTATTTCCCGTCAAAATGAAATCGACTTATTGATTTTATGCTCTTGTAATTAGTGAATAAATTATAATAATTAGAATAAATTATCATGCAATCATCATTAAAAAAGCACATTCAAAAAAGTCTCTTTAAAATATATTTAATGAAATCGTACCATATTTTTTTCATTTAGTATTCATTAACTAACTTTAAAAAAGTTTGTCGAGTTGGCTATTGTTTCTTCATTATGTAACTTTATAAAAAATAAAGATAATTAAAATCAATTAAAAGATTCTGAAAATAGAAATTTCAATCATTACAATTCTTTATTACTGATCTTAACCCAACTTGCGACAAAATTACAGCCATTTAAAAATCGTCTTTTTTTAAGAAAAAAAAAAAGAAGTATTTTAACTAATTCTTGCGATATCACCACTTGCAATATTAATTAATTGTAACTTAACGGGATGCATCCTTTCATTTCCAAGGAAATAAAAAATTTGTCGAGATTTAAATGTTTATACTCTTCCGACCTAAACACGCACCACACACGCATTATCGCAACGGACGCGTGCATAAGCGTTGTAATACATCCGCGAAAGTGCCGAACACGCGAGAGCGAATATCGTGCTCGATAGGGGATCGATTCGCGCGCGAAAACCCCTGCTTTATGCAAATCGCCGCGCACGCTGAGCGAGTAATAAATTATTCGCTCGGTCGAGTCCGTTTATGGGCGGCACACAGAGAGAAATTCGCGTTCCCCTTTTACTCTGCCCGGATTCTCCGGTATACTCTCTGTTTGTCGCTCCCGGCGCCGTAAACACGACCAAATATTTGCCGCTAATAAAGCCCACGGTGGGAGATAAATATTTATTGGACGTCATGGATCCTCTCCGACGTATTCGTTCGATGCGAAAAAAAAAAAAAAAAAAAAAAAAAGAAAAAAAAAAAGAAAGAAAGAAAAAAGAAAAAACAATGCATATTTATAAAAATGTAAAAATAAATATTTCTTTAAATTAAGGAGCTTTTATATTACACACACAAGCGCACGCAGGCGCATCAATTTTCCATGAGGCTTCAAAGATTTCCATTATTCATTACATCCAAAAACTAGTATATAAAAGAAAATTTCAATGTAAATCGGGAAATTGCAAAATCAACAGATATTAGAATAATATATTACAAATTCATCATAATTTGAAATTTTCGATACATATTTTGCAGTTTTTAGAGTTCAATTTTAGAAGATTAGCAAATAACTTCGTCAATAGCTTTTTTCATCAATATTTCAATAACCTTTAATTAAATAATATTTAGAAATAATGCAACTTTATAATAATTTCTGCAAATTACAAAGCACAATATTTCGTAAATTCATCATTAGTTTTCAAAAGTCAAACTTCACTAATTTTTCTCAAAACTCATAGTAATTAATTATATTTTATCGTAAGAAAATTATGATACTTAATAATTATTCAGTTATTTTCTTCTGTATTTTCAATAAATTTATTATATATTCAATATTAGAGCCTTTTTTCAATGTTTGTTTAAATCTATTATAATTTCAACATAATATTTCCATCAAGAAATCTTTTGAACATCCCGCATAGCAAATATCAAATATCTTTAGGATATCTAAAAGACATTCATGCACTGTTTGGGTATGCTTTTTTGCAACTTTTTAAAAGTTTTTTTTTATTTAAAATTAACTATTATTATCTAAATTATTACACACTTTATCAATAGCAATATCACTATCAAAATTATATCATTTTATTCTAACATAATTTTAACGTAAAATATGTCTTTTAATAACTTTACTTTAATATTTCTTATACATAAAATAACAACAATCAATTTATGCAAAAAGAAACAATAATTTTGTTCTTAAAAAAAAAGTATAATTGCAGTTGTAGTATTTTTTTTTGTGCTTGTAACACAGAAAAACTTGAATTATTAATCAATTATTCCTGTTATTCTATATCTTATGCATGTATGCACATATGCATGATACATGCATGTGTGTGTATGTGCGTGTCCATATGTATATACATATTTACCTGCTATTAGGACAAATTTCAATTTCACACTGATAGCACCAAACACTCCAATGATGAGTGTCCGTCACTATGCAATGACAGTCACTGTGGGGCTTCTTATAATGCTCTATAGCATGCTGTTTCTGCTCTTTGCCACAACTTTGTTCTCCGCACTGTAGGCAAATCCACAATGGCTTCGAGATATACTGCAAGTTTAAATAATTTGAAATTTGACTTTAATATCTTTTACATGTTTCAATCGCGAATAGTATATCATTTACAATTTCCTCTGTCTTTTTGAAGTCCACTTCTATTTTCTTACAAATGGAGCATTCGCTCATTATCCCAGTCTTCTTTATGTTTTTCTTCACCTTGTTCAGATTGATAGCCTTTGCTATATGCAAACATTTTACACCTGTCAACACAAAATTAATATTATTGATATTAAAATATCCACATGCATATTTGATGAAAAAGTTATTTTCTGGATTTTGTAAGCAGAGAGAAAGAAAAAGAGAAAAGAAGACAAGGTTTCAATTTATATATTAAAAATTAAGAAATTTATATATTATGTTTTTAGATGCTACACAATTTTAAGTATGAAAATCCTAATTGCTTAGATTTTAAAATTTCCAGATTGATTTTTTGGAATTTAATAAATATTTCTCTGTCTTTGGATATCACAAAATATAATTATTTTTGAAAAAAAACTAACTTTGTTGTGAATCAAATTGAGATGAATTGAGATCAATTATGAAAAGTTGTAAAGTTTGATATTTGTATTTACAGAATTTTTAAATAAATTTCACTTAACTTTATTTTTTACAAAATTATATAATAAAAAAAACAACAACCAAAAATTCGATTAATCTTTTTAGTTACTTAATAAATGCCAAATAAAAAAAGTATGGCACAATTTTGTTAAAGGGGTTGTAAAAAGCTTTCTCTTTAATTCATTTTTTTATGATTGAATGATTTTTTTCGTCGATTTATTTCCCGTCAAAATGAAATCGACTTATTGATTTTATGCTCTTGTAATTAGTGAATAAATTATAATAATTAGAATAAATTATCATGCAATCATCATTAAAAAAGCACATTCAAAAAAGTCTCTTTAAAATATATTTAATGAAATCGTACCATATTTTTTTCATTTAGTATTCATTAACTAACTTTAAAAAAGTTTGTCGAGTTGGCTATTGTTTCTTCATTATGTAACTTTATAAAAAATAAAGATAATTAAAATCAATTAAAAGATTCTGAAAATAGAAATTTCAATCATTACAATTCTTTATTACTGATCTTAACCCAACTTGCGACAAAATTACAGCCATTTAAAAATCGTCTTTTTTTAAGAAAAAAAAAAAGAAGTATTTTAACTTTCTTGCAACAGTATAGCAGACTAGATATATTTATTAAATTAGCTATCACCATTGATCTAACATTGCTTTAAATATAAAATATTCCAAAAAGTAAAGAAATAAATTCTAGGAGCATTATTGAAAAAATTATTTAGAAGATTAGAAGATGTAATTAACAAGGAAACCTCGCAAACACCCGAATTCTGATTTTGATGAAACTTTACACACATGTAGAGGGGGGGGGGAGGGGTAAATAGACAAATTTAGAAATTTTCTGTTGCTGTTCAAAAACGATTCTAAGGAGTGAGATTACCCCTTATGTATACAGCGGCTTTTTTGCTTCTCCCAATATATCTCAAAAATTATTTAATATCAAAAAATGTTTTATACAAAAATTTCACGGTAAGAACACCTCTATTTAACCACATTAACAATATTTAAAAAAAATTTTTTTTAAAGAAAGTTTTTCCAAAAATCTTTAAAAAAATTTTATTAATGTGTTAAATAGCAATGTTCTTACGATAAAACTTATATTGAAAACATTTTTTGATATCTCCAATTATTTTCGAGATATATTGAGAAAAGCAAAGAACCTTGAATTGTTTTAATTACCGTTTTTAAAACATTTTGGGTGTTTAAAAAGCTTTATTTTTTTAGATTTTACTATTAATTATAAACAGTTATGTATTTTACATGTTACAACTTTATAATACCTACCAAAAATTAGATAAATTATTTTTTTACATTATTTCTTATCATAGTTTTAAATGTAATATTTATTACAATCATATTTTAAGAGAATCTTGTCTTGCATATTGCCATTTACAAAATATCGGAAACGCGGTTTGTGAATCAATACACTGTGCTTTTATACCGTATATTCTGTGTATATCTCGCCTACGCGCGTCTATGGCCATGTATATAGACATCAAATATTAAAATTATCAAATATTGAATGAAGCTATGTAAGCTATGTCACGCCTGTACTTGAAATATCGATGTGCTGTTCGTTCTACTACTCGTTGTACTTGTTGTTTTATGGAACACTTTGCATATAGTCTGCTTTAACTTTTAAATTTTGCGGAGAGACGGAGAGAGAACACCGCAATGAATAATTAATAGAATATAAATTACAAAAAATAAGATCTCTCTTACATACATAATATATATAGGTATATATACATATACATTGTCCAAATAGAAATAAAGCTATCTAAAACTTACGAAAAGAAATAATATTCACAAAAGCAGATAAAACCACACAGTGCATATGTGCCCAGTGTATATACAGGGTGTATCTGAAATGATGCACTAAACTTTAGGAGCGTATTCTAGAGGTCAAAATAAGACTTTTTTTTCTTATGAACATGGGTCCGCAAATGAATCCCCCTCTGAGCTAAAATTCGAAAATGTGTGAAATTGACCAAACATTCGCAACGCAAATTTATTTATCTCTCAAGAGAGAGTAATAGGTAACGTCAAAACCAAGGTCTGCCATTTTTCTTCTGAAATACAGCCAATTTTTAATTTTTTCCCGAAACTTTAGAGCCTCTAGCTCGAAGGAGGTTTCATTTGCAAACCCATGTTCATAGGAAAAAAAGTCTTATTTTGATCTCTAGAATATGCTCCTAAAATTTAGTGCATCATTTTAAAAAAAAGAAAAAAAGGAAAAAATTTTCAGAGATTTATTTTTTACGTCTCTTATATGTATAAAAAAATAAAAAATATTCAGATTTCCAAAAAACAAAAAAACAAAAAAATTTCTTAAAAAATTTATTAATGTGGTTAAATAAAAGTGTTTTTACCACAGACTTTTATATAATACAGGGTGAGTCATTTTAATCAACGCACGCAAATAAGGGTGAGTCATTTTAATCAACGCTCGTAAAGTAAGCAAGATGGAAAAAAATGTTTTATACAAAAGTTGTAGGGTTCAGAGGGGGACACATGATGAAAATATGGACTTGACCTTGAGTGACCTTTTCAAGGCCAAGTCAATGTGATCGCTCCTAAAATTTAGTGCATCATTTTAGATACACCCTGTATATATATATATATACTCAAAATTTTTCGGGTCACTTTATTAATCTAAGAATTCGAAGATGTATAGAATACAAAGACAAGAATCCAAAAATCTAAGAAGCCATATAGAATTTAAGAATAAAGAAAGAAATAAGATTTAAAAATCCTTGGATCTAGAAATATTGATCTATAAAAATCAGATTAGGATTAGGTTAAATTACAGTGATAAAAACCATAAAAACCAGTTCTATTTGTGCGTATGAATATATATGCATTTTTAACCTGCACTCGCTTCTTCGCAAGACTCGGTGGAAGCTTCGCTGATATCAGGATCCGCATCTGGCTGTCTGTTCCGCTTTTTACTCATTTCGTTGCCTAACTAACAATAAGTGGACGTGAGGGGTTCTTGTTCTTGTATGCACGTGCGTGCTTGTCGCGCCAACAATTCTCCTGGCTGATCAGCCAAATTCTTGATTCTGACGTTCGCGTAAAAAAAAACATGTGGATCATCAAGGCACGCGCACATTTTCCGCGGATGGTAGGATGCTGCGTTCCGATTTCTGATATTGAGGGTGATGTCTTTGAGCAAAGTAACTCACAAGAGAGAGGCAACTATGATTTTCTTTCTTACTTCCTTCCGACATGTTTTTCTATCGGGAAACAAAGGCATTCCATTTATATATGTTCTAAGGTCCCATGGCGCGTATTGCGATACGCACCCCAGGGTAGCGTTCCATGGTGCGTAGAGTCCTATATGTACTTTCCGAGATATTTTACAGTTTCAAGTTAAAAAACTCACCCTGTATAAGGGGTGGTTTCATCCCTTAGAACCGTTTTTGGGCAGCAACTGAAAATTTCTAAATTCATCTCTTTACTAAGTTTCATCAAAATCAGAATTTTCGGCTTCACGAAGTTCCCTTATAAGACAATTTTCTCACTTACCCGAAGATCTTCATTCCGTACTATTTCCAACAAATGTCGGAGTAATTCGTGCGAGTCGTGTTGCCCTCCGTCAACGCATTGCGTACTTTTTTTCCTAAGTTTACAGAGGAGATTCAGAGGTGTATATGTTTGATAGCCATTAGTGTTCTGCATTTTCAATAAAGTTTCGCAAAGGATTGATGTGAAACTGCCCCATCGCTCCAAGGTCCCCTCAATCGGTGGCTATAAGTCAAATAAAATAGAAAAGAGCAATTACTCATAAAAAATACGATAAACAAAAGCAAAAGTGTAAAATAAACTATTTTATCTAGCAAATCTGTTATGAAGTCTTCCTAGTTTGATGCTCTGAAAATAAGGCAAATATCTGGCAAACTTAAAAAAAAAAAGTATAAAACATATTAATTCTAAACTTTGCACATTTATTAAATAACGTTTCAAATATATCCTGAATTTATTTCAAACAAAAATATTTGTTCGTTTCGGAGTTATAGTAATCCAACCAGGGTGTCCCCC